TGGCGAGTACGCCGAACTGGTATTCTGAATGTTTAACCACTGTTTTTCTGTTTTTGTGGCTCTCATCCAGACTCTCGTATTTCTTCATATGTCTATTAGTAACGGCTAATCTCGTGGATCCGCTTTATTTGCCAATCACACCACAATAGAATGGCACTCAAGAAGAAGTAATGTAAGTAGAAAAAATATTGGAGTTTATTTAGGGTTTATGTAGGGTTGACGTTTATATCTCGTTTGGAAGTTTTGCCACGAGAATTATTTCAACAGGCAGGGTTTGTCTGCATCAAGAGCTGATCACTTCGCATTGATTGAATCCTATATTTACGGAATTTGGGGAATTATCTCGGAAGTTCTGGTGGTATTTGTATTACAAAAGATAACCGTTAGATATATTTGTGAAGCGAAACCCAGAGAATGCTGTGAATTCTTCTTTTTTACCAAAAATTATTGACACTTACTTGCAGCTCTATTATAAAAAGTGTATGTACGGTACACAGAAAATACGCTTTCGAAATTGTTTCCGAAACTAATTATAACACAGGGCCATATAACCACATGATATCAATGCCAATACCTGATATTGCATTATCAAAAAAATATCTGTAATATAAAATGCCGAAAAGATGTTCAGTCGCCTGTCATAACATAACGTTTTCGATATTTTCTATCGAATGGAAATAAGTCAGTTCAAACTATTTTTTTCATAGAACAGCCTGCATATTATCACTTTTTTGGATCTGTTTGGAAAAAAATGTTTAAAATCTGTTTTTTCGTTAACCAGCTGTCGCAACCTTACGAACGACAACCCTCAGAAGTTGAAACTTGTGCGAGCTGAGGATTAACGAGGTCTTACCTTTTAACGTGTGATTCCAAATACGGGTTGGACGATAGAAAGTGAAAATCGATCGTTCAGACTAGGGCTAGGACTAGAATTCAGTGGATAAATTCCTGTTGCTCCAAATTTCAACTTCAAGCCGAAGTTAATTGCTCGGAATAAGTGGATTTCACTGCAACAGTTTCTCCTGCAACAATACTGACCTCCTTGCGGTATTGAAACGCCTAAAGAAGCTAACAACTTGTGATTGGGTCAGGTGAGTTGAATTTGGAGGGAAGCTCACCAAAATATCATACTGGTTGCACAACTGCAATCCTTCATCAGTGAAGTGTGACGACGAAGTATCGCCAATCAGATTCTCATTTCCTGGTGAATTATTAGCATACGGTTAAAACGTGCTTTCAAACCAGTCCATGAAGCAGTTAACTTGAATTCAATAACATATGTTCTGTTGTATCTGGTCCCTCAGCCGCATGAATGCATGTTTTACATATGGAGGCAGAAGAACACCTGAACTTGACCCACAACAAATGAAGAAAATGGCTGATTTTGAATGGTTTATGATATTTTCGAGGTATTTTTCAACTCTGTGATCAGCCATGTTTGTTTCATCGTAAACAAATTTGACGGAGGTACATTCTCAATATTTTTTTTCAAATTGTCAAAATATTTTTGAATCACTTCAAGAGAAACACTCGCACGTTTTATATTAGCTGCTAGGCACTGTGTTTGATGAGCCTGATGTCTCTCAATGAGCGAATGAACCTATATAATATTGACCAGAGATATTATTTAAAAACGGGGTACTCATCTTCCCTGCCTATCTGATAATGATTTTATAATCATTTGTAGATCTTTTATACTTTGTGGAAAACCCCGATCACAGTAAGTTTCGACAGACTGAATTGTTGCATCTTCCTTCTACTTTGCGAAAACAGTTTGTCCTCCAGGTGGCCTCATATGCATGGGGTTTTATAGGAGGTGTTGAATAACTTGGATACTTTGTTAGTAGATCAGTTTGAATCAAGTATTTTTGTTAATGCTTTATGAATATTCTTATCGCTGTGCTTCTTATAACTTCTGCAACCAACGTTCAGTTTGTAGATACGATCCATTGTTTTACTATTGGGGGATGCTCCTTGAAAAATAGCATAATTCGAAACCAAACCAAGGATGGTCGTGAAAATATTATTATTGTGTATGAATCATGGGCAACTTTGATAATTTATTAATCTCAACATAAAAATGTTATCTCAACTCAAAATAATGTTTCTGCTGAATTTTTTTGAACAAACATATTTGGTTGAGAAGAAAAGAATCCGGGTCAGTAGGCCGTGGTCCAATGGAACCTAAAGTAACGAACTTTTCGTCTGCTACTGCGGCAAACATCATCAGTGGTAGGTGCATTGACTACGTCGACTTCGAAATATAACCTTCGTTCTCGCACTCGACGCACATACCAATGATGATGTTGGCCGCAGTAGCAGACGAAACGTTTCGTACTTCAAATTATATTCTACCAGACCAGACTTTGTTCTGTTCAATCGTGGCTCCGGCTGTAAAAGTCTGATTTTGAACATAATTGGCACATAGTTTTACATGAAGTTAGGTTATGTAGAAATAATCGCAATAGAAATAACTAACATTTGAATAAATTCTCAGGACGTCTATGAATTATTTTATAATCCTTTTCAGTGATAATTTAGGGTCACTTTGACATTTGCCTAGAGATTTTTTTTTAATATCATAACAAATTCTTACGCTAACACGATACAATAATGAGAATACTTGACATTTTAATTTATTTAACAAAATATTAGATTTTGGGAGAAAAAGTCTCGCCTTTCTACTTCTCCATATTTATATGAAAAAAATGAGAAATTTCCTTTCCTCTCCTGAAAATATACTACTTTCAATTTTAAAATTAGTCATCGAAGTCTCACCATAAAATCAATTTCACTTTGTTTGTAGTTTTTCATTTGTTTTTTATTTTAACTTTTTGAAAACGCATGACATGATGATACGAGAACTAAAAAATGAAATGAAGGACTAATCAAAGGCACCATAAAAATATATAATCACCAAAAATAGAGTACACACCAAATCAGAAAAAATAATACAGTGAAAAAATGAGTATTTTGAATTAAATTCTGAACACTCACCTCTGTCACCATTCCTATATAATAGAATGTGACAAATGCCTACCAGAAAATAACTACTTTTCCGGGTAATATCACGATTTTGAATGTTACATGTCAAAGAGTCAAAATTAATCACTTCTAAAAATATACCTCTGTTCCATACCTGTATGTGTTGACTGGCAGTACTTGAAAATCCAAAAACTATTAGGTTATTAAAATACCATGATCAATTTTATCAAAAACTTTGGAGAGGTTTCTGCATATTACATAAACTTGACTATTGTTATATATTTCTTCGGTAATTCATTGCGTAATAGTAACTTGATTTGTCACAGTGAAACGATTAGTAACAAAGCCATGCTGATGTGATATCAGACCTTGAACATACCCATATATTCGAGTATACAAAATGATCTGAAATACTTTTCAAAACATGTACAAAGTTGATATGGGTATAAAGTTTTCAATGTACGCCTTTCAACCACTTTTGTTTACAGGATGCAGGATTTCCAAATATCCGGAACTGTTCCAGACATCTGACATGAGTTGAATTTTTTTGCTAAAGGTTTTGCTAAGTCTTTTGTACAATCTAAAAATGATGAATCGAATAAAAGTGAATATGAATATTATTTTTGCTTACTTATATTATCTTCATGGAAAAAAATTACTGAAAGCATTGACAATATCTTTTGGATTGACAATTTCATTTTCTTGGTAAGACAGTGATTCCGGAGATCTTGAGCTATTATTTTTTGAGTGAACGTATGAACAGAATCTGATAGAATCATTCGACAAGGAATTTTGTATGCCGATCAGGTAGTTGTTCGCGGTGAATATTTTGAACATCTACTTCGTTAACATCCACAGTTCTTTTTCGTATTCTA